GCTGAAGCCATCCTGTTATTCCGTTCATTGCTGGAGCTATCACGTGCAATTACATCAAGACGTCTAGCTTCAGACACATAATAAATGCCCTAAATTGCTTGCATTTGTACATGCTAATACGTGTCCGAATTCAAATCTTGAAGGTACATCTCAACCAATAAAGTCGCAAAAAAGAGTTATAGCTCCATCTCTATAAAGTATAAATCTTAACTGAAGAATTGTATTAAAAATAATGATGATAATTTAACCTTGAGCTAGATTTTCTTTCTACTACAAATCTTGTATTAAAATATAGGACTCAAGTAAAATAACAAAAAGCATTGTACAATTCATATTACATGATTTATGATAAGATGCATTTTATATACTTTACCCTATTATTTTGGACTTCATTTTGTTATTATTTATATGAATAAGATGTGATTTTTAATAGATTTTACATAGTTATTATTTCTTGCGAAAAAAGAACTTGCATACATAATAATAGAAGTTTTTGAGATTAATTGTATATCTATTGAAAGCTGAGGGACTGAATTGTGAGAAGGAAGGTTCCCTTTGGGAACTAAATAAATAAATCTTAAGTTATGGGATTAAAGTGCTCACTATATAAAAGCTAGAGGACTAAATTTGTTATTTTATCATTGAAGAAATGGCAAGGAAGGCCACGAACCCGTCGACATCTACATTCTGGTATCAGCACTATGTATTAAGCCTCTTAACTCTTAAGTGAGAAATAAATAAAAGTAGCAACACTTACTTTTTTTGGGTGTTGACACTAAATGCCCTTTCAATTTAAAATTTTTTTATTTTTGTTGGTGCGTCTTACATTTTTTATTTTTTAATAGGACTTTTTAAATTCTATAAACCCATTTAAAATCAAATTTGAGGAGCTCTAGGAGAGACCAACCGAGAAACAACAAAAGGAATTCGATATCAATCAAACAAACATCAAGGTATGAAATTTTAAATTATTGAATTAATTTAATTTAGGTAAAAACCTCATTTTCATCCCTCAACTATTGTACGAACTCCTGATTTAGTCCCTAACTAAAAAAATCCCTGATTTGATCCTTACTGTTTACTATTTTAACATCAACTTGGTCATTCCATTAAAAATCAACTTACGTGGATCATTACTTGATGGGAAAAGATGATAAGTTAAATATTTTGACACGTAGGATTGACAATGAGATAAATTATAAAGATAAAATTATTAAAGGTTAAATTATAAAGATAAAATTACATTTTTACCCTCATCTTCAACCACAAATGACTTTCTTTCCTTCCTCCTTTTGTTACCCCTTACTTTTCATCTCCAACCTCTTTCGTTGTTCATCTTCTTCCCCTGGATCCTATTTTGCTGGCTTGGGTTTTAATCCTCTCCTTTTCTCATCTCCTCATCATCTCTCATCTCCTCTTTGAAACCTAGCAGATTTGTTGGGTTCTTGAGAACCCAACGAACCCAGCGATTTTGCTGGGTTCCATTTTTTTTTAAATATTTATGTTTAAAAGCTTGAATTTCAGGGATATTTTTGGATTGCAATTGATTATTTTGCTAATGAATATTTTGTTTGTGTGGGCTGTTCTGATTAAAAATTTGGCAAAAATTGGTTATGAGGGAAAAAATTTGCATATGGCTGCTTATGATTGGAGACTTTCTTACTAGAATACAAAGGTCAAACTCAGATATCTGTTGGGGGGTTTGATGCAACCCAGCAGATCTGCTGGGTTAGAGATCTGTTGGGTGGGTTTGATGGAACCCAGCAAATCTGCTGGGTTCGAAAGACTTAAAAATGATTTAGTTGGTTTTTTTTTTTTTTTAGAAATTTGGGAGAAAATGCCTCGATTTTTTTGGGTTTTTTGGGGAGGTTGAGAGAAAGAATTTAGGGTTGGTGACTATTATGGGGGAGATTCTGGGTTTGTGTTATTTTTTGATTTGATATTAGAAGGTGTTAGGGTTTGCAAAAGGCGAAAGGAAAGGAAGAAGAAGATGAAAGGGAAAAAAGGAAAATCAAAGGAAGAAAAAACAAGGGAAAAAGAAATATTTTAAGGTTTTTTTTTTT